TTTCGACAGGTGGATTCCATTCATGGTGTGTGGATGCGTGAATGGGTGGCGTTGAATGGATTTGGATGTATGGTAAGCTGTGGTCCATTGATCCGGTTTCGTATGGTGGTTGGACCAGCATTAGCTTGTGTGAAACAGACTAGTTAATACTGCAATGATTGTAATACATAAAGTAAGTGGAATATTTTTAATATACATGAAATAAGGAGAACTTAAATAACAAGAAAAGAAAATAAATAAATCTACATAACATCACGCCTTTTATCCACAAAGGGTTAGGCAGATTACGGCACTTAATACCAATGTACAATGTAATACCCACTTTTCACTACTAATGTGATAAGTGCCATGTAATAGGGGGTGAGCCTATTGCCATATACTGAACACGTTTCCAGACTCCGTGCTACTACTGAAAAACCCAGTAATACTACTTTCTACTTAAACCCTAAGGTTGACTGGTAGAGAATGTCATATGGCATTAAGTTCGCCTTATGTGCCATAATAAAATTGTGTACATAAAAGAATAAATAGATAAATAAAAATAAATAATACTTTGCCCGACCAGGGAATCGAATCCTTGCACGGCAGTCACACTTGCGACCACACGGTCAACGAGGCAGTCTTAAAATCTTACACTATTTTAACTATAAAGCTGAAGAGTATGTTTGTTGCAACGAGCTATTCTCTGGTTTGATTACAAGAAATATATTTTTATATCGTATAGTTCATTTATAGGCTATAACACATCATACCAAGACCAGTAGGAGCCGAGCAGAGAGGATCAAACCACGCGGGACTACCTAGTAATGCATAAAACATGTTTAGATAACAACTAAGACGTTTCCTACTATTTATATGACCTTTAGGTTACTCTATTTTGTGACATAATTCCATACCATTGCACTCACCTGTCGCAAGCACCTGTGTTAGCAGTTCAATGGCATAAACACATATCGAATCGAATCAAATAGAAAAGTCAATGTTTGATATTGACATATATTATTATTAAGCTTACGTTAAAAAATACATTATTATAATTATTGACTCGGCAAGGGGTCTCGGGTTCGATTTCAGTAACGGGCAAAGTATTTTGCATTGTTAAAAAAAATGTCAGTAGTCGCAAGGAGCCTGGAATTGTGCTCTGCATATGGCAATAAGTTCGCCCCCTATTACATGGGACTCATAACATAAATAGTGAAAGGTAAGTGTTACATTGTACAGTGGCATTAAGTTTCGTAATGTGCACCTCTGCTTATCCATTCGGGGATAAAAGGCGCGATGTTATGTTATATTACATTAAGTTTTATCCTCCTTAAGCTTCGTCGCCATAAGGAAAGTTTCCCATAAACTCCATGGTTTTCAGGCAGGTTGAAATTCTCAGTTTAAAAGATTCTTTATCACAAAGAGAATGAGTAGCGATAAATGTATTCCTATTTTGCTGTCACCATCTCACCATATAATATTAACGCCGCGACCCAGCGACGACGTCACCGCGGGGACCAGGGGAGGTCGCGACGCGTGCGAGCGGCAGCCTCGACAGTCGCCGACAACAACGGCCGAGAGCAGTTCTCATCATTAATTTTCAAATTGACTAAAACTCGCGGGTTACTATTATATATATATTTATGGCTATG